TGTTTATTTCAAAAGCACAGAAAGAAAACCTCGAACCCCAAGAATGGACAGACATGAAAAGAAAAACTTTTAAACTGATCATCCTTTTAAAACTGTAAATGTTGATACAGGTAGATGACTCTATATGAATACTTGTTTTTGTGTTTGTGTGTCTGTGTTGTGTTGGGAGGCTGGGTGTAGGCGTGGGTGGGGGGTTCTTTCCACTTGTCCTTCCTTTCACAAGGTTGTGAATTTTCAGCCATTTCCTGCATTTTTCTCACTTTGAGCTATAAAGATGGGGGAAGTTTGTGTGTGTGTGTGTACCTGTGTGTGTGAGAGAGAGACACAGACACACACACAAAGACTTGGGCTGATGTAGCACAAATGTATAGGTTATGTGGTGTCTACGTGGACAGCATGGAGCCGAGTCCTTCCTGTGTTCCATTGTCTTTTGGCAAACGAGGTCCGTCTGTCTGTCTACACCCACCCTTCTGCAAATCAAATTTATATACGGTTTGAAGCGAGTTTGTTGTTGGTTGAATTAGTGGATCTAAACAGCTGTTGCACATCCAGGACATTTGGTCATGGTCTCCACACGATCCGTTGTAAAAACCCAAAATAACTTCTACTTTCATCGTCTTGAGAATTAAATGTGTCCAGAAGTTTGGCTGATGACCAGACATCTGCAAAACAAATAGTTCCAGCTATGTGTTTAGTGCTAAACTGCTGGTAAGTGGAAATTGTGTTTGAGGTTCCAAGGCAAGTCAAGCCTAACAAGCCAAAATCAATTTAAAACTTCTCAGGGAGAACATGTGCAGAGAACCTTTAATTTAAAAAAATATGACGTTTAAAGGAAGAGACTGTGCAGAGAACCTTTAATTTAAAAAAAAAAGATAAATGTTCTTAAATGGCAGCATTACTTTTTTATCCTTAATACCAAATAGAATAAAATATATTTTATTGTATAGCAGAGCAAAATTAGCAAAGCATTAAATCAAAATTAACTTAAAAATAAATAAAATAACTAAGTGCAGGGAAGTATACCTGCAAACTGGGTAACATAATATATACAACGGAGAAATGTTAGCTGATATCCTTATTTCTATAGCACTATTACTAAACCTCACTCTTATTTCTTGTTCTGTACTTTTGCTGTTGTCAACACTGTAAATTTCCCCATTGTACAATGAATAATTCACTTCTTAATCTTAATCTCAACATACTCCAAATGACCAAATACAAGTAACAAAATGAAGAGTAAAACAGCGGAGCAAATGTGTTCCTGCAATAACTTTAAATAACGTATGAATAAATGAAATCAAATGCTTCTGTGTATTTGTATGTAAACACTGCAACAGTGAGGTCTTCTCACACTGTCACCTTGACGTTGGCCTGTTTGTTCCTCATGTGTTGATCTGCCACTGGGGATTTAGATGTGATGAACAAGGACCTTGATCTGTAAAACCCTTTTATCACCACTGAGTGTCCGGGCATGTTTGATATCAGCATGAGGGACAAACACCTTTTCTAGAAAGTGAATGTGAAGACCAACAGAGGAAGGTGATAATTGAGACACCTGAGAACCTCTGTGTTCTGACTCGGAACCGCCGACTCCTGAGAGAAAACAAACAGTGGCTCCACTACACAGGGAGGTCCGCGCTCCAACTGATAAAGTCAAGTGTTTGTCAAATCGCTTATCTTTAAATAATCAACACAGGCGTTTGTTTTGGTACAAACAGCAGCCAATTCAGTTCAAGCACTTTGGTAAATATTGAGCCTTCAGTATTTGGCAGAGACAGAGGTGTGAAGAGCCGTCAGTGGGGTTTTTTTTTTTGGCGACGACAAAGGCTCTCCCGCTCTCTCAGCATTGTTTTTGGATTTTAATTGAGCTAATGAGGAAATCTTATCCTTGGAAAACACATCACCTCTGCAATTAGAAGTTTAGAAATAGCGGAAAATAAGTCGTTTTGACTTACTGGTAATATATACGTATGCATGAATGCACAAATTATACAAAAGAATTGTTTGAAATAGTAATCAGTAGTTATCAGTTAGAAAGAACAAAGGACGTTTCTTTCTTTCTTTCTTTCTTTCTTTCTTTCTTTCTTTCTTTCTTTCTTTCTTTCTTTCTTTCTTTCTTTCTTTCTTTCTTTCTTTCTTTCTTTCTTTCTTTCTTTCTTTCTTTCTTTCTTTCTTTCTTTCTTTCTTTCTTTCTTTCTTTCTTTCTTTCTTTCTTTCTTTCTTTCTTTCTTTCTTTTTTATTTCTTTCTTTTTTTCTTTCTTTCTTTCTTTCTTTCTTTTTTCTTTCTTTCTTTCTTTTTTTCTTTTTTTCTTTCTTTTTTCTTTCTTTCTTTTTTCTTTCTTTCTTTCTTTTTTTCTTTCTTTCTTTCTTTCTTTCTTTCTTTTTTCTTTCTTTCTTTCTTTGTTTCTTTTTTTCTTTTTTTTTTCTTTCTTTCTTTCTTTGTTTCTTTTTTTCTTTTTTTTTTCTTTCTTTCTTTCTTTGTTTCTTTCTTTCTTTCTTTTAATCCACAGTATGGCTTGTCTTTCCACCATGTTTTAGAATTAGAATGTATGAATAGTATTCTTTATTAAACTTATATAAACTACAAGAAAATAAAAGACAAAAGTGTACATTTAAGACAATTTTGTGAGACGGTGTAAGCGACAGAAAAGTGAGTGACAGCTGTGTTGTTGATGTTATTGATGTTACTTTTTCCTAACTTTATGCTTCTATTCTCTCATGGTCAGGTAAAAGAGTGGAGAGTTGCATCAGTTTTTTTTCTACCATGATGGCACTATGGACTGACTAGACATTTGTTCATTTATAAAAATGTTCAACAATGACCTGTGTGTTAAATGTCAGAGTAAGACAACTTCCACATTGTTCTTGGAAACAATGGAAAATAATGTTTTTTACTGCTTAATGCCATTACCCTATTTTGCAGACCATTCAGTGAGTGGTTGGGTGTGAACCAAGAATCGTACAGTATCTCAGACTGAGGTCAGCCAGAGGTCTCATAGTAGGATGACATCATGTAGACCTTGTCAAAGAGAAGCTACTTTTTATCAGAACCCCTGGCCTTACATCATCCCTGCTCCCACACAAGGAAGGAAAGGAGTTTGAGGCACAGGAATTGTACTGGGCTTGATCTCAGATGTCTGCAGCACTTGGAGGGCATGGCTTTGCACTGCAGGGGGCACCAAAATCTATTTTGAATCATTAAATAATAGTCTGTTTTGTTTTTTATTTTAATGTCTATATTTAGATTTGACAAGTTTATTTTGCTGACCTTGGGTTTCCTCCCCCCACAGCCATGAGAAGCCACTACAGAGCTTTTTCTCATGGTGTTCATTTGTTGCCCCAAAACAAATCACATGTCAAAGAGAGCCTTGACAAACACGACGGTTGGAAAACAACCCACAGTTGATTTTAATCGACTGCTCTTAATCGACTGCTCTTCCTTGTACAGTACAGTAAATGTTTAATTTGGCATGTAGCTGACATTTCTCACGGTGCGACAGGTGACCACATGCCCAAACACATTCCATTTCTTACAGTAAGTCCAACACCCTCGCCTTAGCACTTTATGTTTGTTTTTGTTTTTTTTCTCTCCACTGCAGTAAATCGTAGCTGCACACACTCCCGCTTTTTACTCTTTTATCCCAGTGTTTCCCACACTGCGTGCACCTCAAGAGATCTAGTCCCTTTTGGCATCTTTCCATTTGGCAGTCACACTAACAGAAGGACCAGCATGTGCGTGGGCTTCATAATAAAATAATCATTGCCCTGGGGTGCTGAAACTCTACAGCTACACCCTGACGGTTTCGCTTGCCCTGAGAGAAAGACAAAAAAAAAATTAAGGATATAAATCTAGAACAGACATATGCTCTGTCAAAGCCGGGTCCACGACTACGACAGACACTTTGGGAAAGAATGTGTGCTTGAAAACCATAATGGGGAAACCAACAATGTAAAAATGAAAATACACTTTTTTCCATTAACAAAAATCCACTGGATATTAAAGAGAAAAGCATGAGGTTGGTGAGTGATTTCTGGGGGGGAAACAACTTTAGCCTTTGTTAAATATTACACTGAATGTAATATTTCTGTGAAATAACTAACTTTAGCTTTAGCCTAATACCCATAATGAAGTATTATACAGTTATAAAATAATACTCCAGTGAATGTTATGTCAAAGTTACACCATAATCTGAGTATTAATAGTCAATTCCTGAAATGAAAAGTACTCAGGGACAAGTGAAAGTATGAATTATGTTGTATTTTAGATTAAATGTACTATTAAAACAATGTCCACTCACTGTTTACAAACATAACCCCATTCACGGCACTGGGAGTAGTGGTCCTAATACTCTGGTCCGTGAGGTAAGACCTTTATCCACAAGAACATGTTATTAAGTTCTGGATCTTGATGGTTGTCATCCATTTATGTTTTATTTTTGTAAGAAAAGAACCTTACTGTAGTACTTTACTGTAATGCTTACTACAGGACCCAGAACAGACCCCATATTTCTGCTGGTGGCTAGCCCCGGTGACAACATACGTGCTATACTACAGCACAGAGCTTAGCTTTCTGTAGGGTTGTATGCTTTCAGTCAATAAACTTTACAGTTTAACATTTTGACCTTAAATGGTTTTAAAGTAGCATTTTTTTGACAATAAACTGCATTGTAGAGTTTCACTACCTGGCTCAGCTAAATCAAGCTAACTGTGCTTAGCATGACCCGCCAACCATAGCAGCCTTGTGGTAATTATAAAACATGGATGGTATTTTAAACGTCTAAAACGTTATTATTAATATCTATTTTGGACATTAGCTAAGTTTTTTTTTTTACAAAGAAAAAAAACATACCAATAATAATTTAAATGTCCGCTAAAGAAAGTGAAAATCAACCAAAGTTTGCTAGAACCTGAGATGTTGCTTTGAGACTATTTTGAGTGTAAAAGAGAGAGACACAAAAGGAAGGGGGGGACGACGACGACGTTTTATTAGGTTTGAAAAGAAGGGGGGAGGAGGAGGGAGAGGAGGAGGAAGACGACGACGGAGGGGGAGGAACTTGCAGACTTGCCTCTAGATTTCATTGAGAACTCGGAAAGCAGCAGGTTAACATCTATGAGGTGACTGTTCTTCATGCCTGGAGACTTTTTGACCAATATTCTCTTCGTTTCCGCCTGTGTCTCCACTCTTTTGGTCGGATTTAACTTTTCCTACACAGGAAACATCTGGACTAGACGACACCAAACTGTGGATCTATGAGAGCCCAACGCGGGATTCAACGGCGTTTGTGAAGTTGAAGAGGAGGAATGTATCGTTTCTTTGTGAAACTAACATTTCTGATCACAGCAGTCGGCGTCTCACAAGGTAAAACTCTTCTTTTCCCCATGGTCATTTTTCTAACGTCTCAGAAAGATCGGCGTTTTACAGAGAACTTGGAATAAGAGAAAAGTTAGTGGGTGGAATGGAAGACAATTATTATATCGGACAGATTTGCCTTTGAATATTCCGTACAATGCATTGAAATAATATAAATTAATAGAACGCGACATATCGGACTTGTGTCTGGCGCCTATCGACAGCTGTTCTGATTCATTTTAAGAGATTTGCTCGGTCGTGGAAACTGATTGATTTTAAGCGCAGGGACCACAGCTGTGTTGGACTTCCCTCTCTGTGAGTTCGCTGTTAAGTTTATTGTTTTTAAAGGTGAAAGCTTTAGAAAAAATAATTTAAAATATACAATATAAATAAAATTAGAAATCAGTGGAGTAAACTTACTCATGAACTTTTTTTAAAGTCAATATAGTTGTTATCACTTTTTAATCACTGGTAATAACTTTTCCTCCCCCTCAGCTCCTGAATCCCGTCTTTAAAGCTGCTTTTAAAAAAGGTGGTTTTGAATAACATGGCAGATAATGGAAGTCTGTGCGTGTGTTTCGGCAGGAGGACGCTGGGAGGAGGTGGGGTGGGTGTTGG